GGGGTATTCCTTTTTATGACAGTCCCACTGAGGGTAATTCATTAGTTTCATTAGTGCATGACTGCTTTTCGTTTGGATTGTTAATAATACAAATGTCAAAACTTTTTAAAAGGAAAAAAAAACAAACTTACTTCCTCGTATTACAGTCACTTTGAAATAACAGCAAAATATTCTCTATATGTAAAAATATGTAAAATGTAAGTTGAGTAATTAAGTACGTGATTATGATGCAGGTAACAGTGTGAAAATTAAGTCAATCTTAAAATGCAAGTTTGTGTAAATTACAAGAATCCCATTGATATTTATTGAACCGCTCGATGTGTTCACTTGACCCAGTGGTTCTCAGACTTTTTCTACCATGCCCCCACTCCAGAGGCCAAACACAGCCCATGTCCCCTTTATGTCCCCTTTTCTGTCTTATTGACATTTAAGTTGAATTTTATTTAAAATAAAAAGATCAAATATATATTTATTCGAGTTAGGTTAACTTCATGGCACAGAAGGAGCAAGAGGAAGTCATGGAGAGGTGGGCAGGAAGTCAGAACATCTGATCAAAATATAAAAACAACAGCAGTTTGTGCTGTTTCATGTTTGTGAACATAAATATCCCCTTAAATAAAAAAGGTTCCTCTGCACGAATTTCCAACGTTATTTTAAGTCCCTGAACACATTTGAAAATGGGAGGTGTGGTGGACTCCAAAGACCTAAGCTTAAAACATTCAGATCACAGTTGTTCACATATTTGTATGATTTTTAAATATGTTTTTAAGTAGGAATGTGTTACTTTTTGTGTTTAGAAAAAGTAATGGTTTGGGTTAGTGCAACTATTATATATAAATATAATTAATAAATATATAAAGTTTAGTTTAACTAAACTTTATTTTGTTCCTGCTTTATCAGTAAAAAAAAAAAAAAGCATGCTGACATGAAAATGGTATTGCTGGGGGGGAAGACCCCTTCCAATGCCCAACAGTGGGCACGTCCCTGTTAAGATATCATACTGATTAGATGTTTAAAATGTTATAATCTGAAAGCTGCAGCTGAGAGTGCAGCTTTGGTCAAAGCTGCACTCTCCTAACTGGTCCGTACCTCAGTTTGTCCTACATGAAAAGCTGTGGATGAAAGGAAAAAAGCAAACAAAAGCAATCAAATAAAATCAAAATCAAAAGAAAGAACAATGGATTTTATTTTTCAAACCACAGTGTTTTTGGTTAAAGGCAATTTCCCACCCACATAAAATCCAAGTCCATTTTACATTCCCCACAAGAACGAATGAAAAAAAAAAATGAGTGGCAACACCATTTGTGTTGGCAGCGAGCAGAAAGCAGTGCACCGCCAGCCCCGTCAGTACTGAATCCTTTCCTAGCAGGATATTCAAGGAAAGTCTGAGTAAATCAGAGCATTTCAGCCTCCAGGCTTATCCCCCCTCCTATAACAGCTCGCCTTTCATCAGCTTTAACTTTTAAAACGCTGCCTTCACAGCCAAATGACAATTATATGGTGTCATCAGTAACACCGAAATCCCCGTAAAGTCATACAAGAGAAAGTCTGGACTTGGATAGAGCAGGGCTATTTCTGTGAGCATGCACACGGTCAGATGGTGCAAACACAAAAATAAGACAATGAGGTTCAATACAACTCTACTAACAGCACAGAAAAGAAATGTGCTTGTATTCACCACCAACCCCAAAAACCCACACACTCATCTGAGTTCTTTTTTTAAATGTGATTACCGGCCTCCATTGTAACAGATATTACATCCACTGCTACACATATGAGCTGCAAAGTAAGTATCACTGCTATCAGAATGAGTGAGTAGGAGCCCATTAAAATCACATTACTGTTAGCGCTATCGGATTTCTGTCTGGTTTCTACAGAAAAAAAAAAGGATATTTAGTATAAGATGTATGCATGCTGAATAATACCATATCCTATAGAACCTTGCATTAGTGTATGTTTACCAGCTTTAATTTAGTTTGGTTCTGGAAGTGTTAACTTCATTTTGGGAATAAAAGTACACAGTACTGTGAAAGTAATATTGCACAAACTTTTACTTTGAACTTTGAAGTATTTTTTATTAATCCACACTCAGGTAGCTAAAGAAAAACCAAGAGTGTTATCCTTTATTCAGAACGTGCACCTATGCATGCTGAAGTAAAAAAGATTTCCGGTATCTTTATATTAAATGTGGCAGAGGTGTTGTGTAGATAGGGAAACACACACTGCCCCAAAGCTAGAAAGACTAACGCACAAACCAACAGATCTTATAAGGGCGCTGCAGGTTTTCTTTTGTTGGAAATTGTCGAGCCACTACAATAAAAACAAACTCAATTCAATTACCTGGTCTGGACTAGTTAATAAATAAAAGGACATGTGTAAAAGATGTGCATTAATGAGAGGAAACACTGGCATAAAATATAGAATGAAAAAAGTCTCACAGCTGTGGGAAGAAAGGTCCCTCTACTTAGCTTTGTAGAGCATATTGGCATCCTGAACCAGTCACTCAACACACTTCAGACTACTTAAAATACATAGAACACCAAACAGACGAAGGCCTCCAAACCTCAGAACTTTCTTCCTGGTTGTTTTTAATGAATTATTGAAGATACTGAAAAGGAGTCATACATAGCAAAGAGTGTGTTAAAGTTAGAGGAGGAACACCTCAAATTTGATTCCAAGCACACTACTTGAGTAAAATTGTTTTTCTTTGCACCACTGCTAAAACAAAACTTTGAGATATGCGTTATCCTCCCTTGGCTTAATATTTCATTGAGGTCTTTAACTCCTTATGAACTTGGCATGCGTGCGCGAGAGACACTTTGTGTGTTCATATCTGTGTGTGCGGCTTCAGGCCTGAGAGATGAGGCAGAGTCTCAAAGGTCAACCACGGCTCTGTGTCATCTGCTAAGATCTGAAGGAGCGCAGCGCAGCATCATCAACAAACACCCCTTTATCATGTCAATACAAGACTCGGTGGATTTCCATGTCGTTAGCATCATGTCACACGTTTAAATAGCTCGTGTGTGAACGCTTTGCCACCAGATGATGAAGCTAGCGATGATGAATTAATGGCTCAAATAACTTCATTATCCTGCTGGGCTTTGCACTTATGCCTGCAACCCAAGTTTCCACGTCCCCAACATATGATAGGAGAGGAGAGCAGAGGCACGCTGTGTTTGGAGGAGACTCGAGTTACTGTTGTGGGCTCGGGCCTGCTGGATGCCAGTTGGAACAGAGAGAGCAGCAAAATGTTTCAGGGCAGTTTAAATGGTTTATATGGACCTCTAGTAGAATGCTGAATGTTAAGGGAACTGGCAGATCTTGAGCAAATAGCTTTTTTTTTATTGTTGTGTTTTTTTTTAATGCAACCAGCAGGGGTATTTTTAAATGAGGTGGCAAAAGAGCCCGAGAACAAGACAGGGGAGGCCCACTGAAAATCAAACTATTTATTCATCCATTCACTTCCGCTGGAGCCTATCCCAGCTGTCTTAGGGCGAGAGGCTGGGTACACCCTGGACCAATCAGAGAAGGAGGAAATAAAAACAGGAAACTGAGGCTACAATTTGCCAGCAATCGCTAAAAATAGATAAGAGAAGAGTGGAAAAAGTTGCCTGGTCTGATGAGTCTTGATTTCTACTGAGCTGTATCCAAGGTTCAGAGTGATGGTGGTGGTGTAATGGTCTGGGGGTTATTTTCTTGGCATGCTTTGGGCTGCTTAATACCAACTGCATCTATGTCATGAAGGATTAAGGCAGTTCTGAAGGTAAAGGAGGGTTCAATACAGTATCAGTCCTGAGTAACTAATAAGGATCAGATGTTCCATCAAAAATACAATGGATTGCAAACACCAATCAGGCAAGCCCTTGCAAATAAATATACCAAGGTTTGCACAACTGCAAGAGTAGAACTGAGTCATTTATTTTATTGGTCAGCTGTGTACAATATATAAAGAGAATTTCAGCTTCCTTAAAGCCAAGGTTAGCCTTTGGACACAAAATAAATACATCTAAACTTCATGTTAATATAAAATATGTACAAATCTTTTGCGCTTCCTGTACAAATGAAGTACTTACAAACAGAAGTCAGAATGGTTTAGTATGGCAAAAATAGTTCACAGATGATCAGAATAGATCATATTGAAAATGTCAGATAGTTTGCTAATGTTTCAGTTTTCTGAGACGTCCTCACTGACTGCTACCGTTGGTGATGCTGTCCACGATGGAGGACAGCCGCAGGAGGCTGGAGGACGCGGAAGACTCACTGGCTCCTAAAATGAAAGGACTTATGATACCACATGATGTTTTCTGTTTTTATCTTTTTTTTTTAAAATGAATTTACACCTGACTTCAAGCAAAGGTAGTGTGCAAGGTGTGTACCTTCTCTGCGGTTCATTGCTGAAGTGGAATGGTCAGCAGAGGTTGGCCAAGCCTCAGAGGATTTCTTCCAGTGGTACTCACCGGCCACCTGTAAAAAACACACATTATCCATATTATTTTCCACATAGCGTCATTTATCCTGTTTTCTTTCCCTCACCACGAACCAGTCACGGCAGATGAGCCAGGTTCCTTCCTCATGAAAGGGAGTTTTTCCTTCCCACAGTCACCAAGTGCATTTCCATAGGAGTATGTTTGATTCTCTGTATTATTGTAGGGTCTTTACCTTACAATATAAAGCACCTTTAGGTGACTGTTGTGATTTGGTGCTACATAAATAAAAGCGAATTGAATTAAATATTATTGCCTGTAATATGAAGAAAAAACTTTTAAATTATTGCAGAAACAGGCTGCTATTACTGAGAAGCATTCAACATTCAATAAGAAAGTAATTAAAAGTATTCAAAGACCATGACGTGAGAAGTTTGTAATTATATTATTAGTGAAAACCACACTGCTAGATTAAAAAAATCAGTGTGGCACAGAGTAATAAGCATTCACGTTATAATGTCATTAATGAGCACCACAAACACATTAAAAGTCCAAACTGGGATATTCTTGATCGGGTGGGGAATAATCTGAAATCCACAGATGCACAGATTTACACATTCATGTGAATAGTATGAGGAGTTTCCTCTTCAGGTTGGTATACTCGCTCACATTGTTTTCTTTTGCGTCACATGGAGATCCGGTTTTCTCCTGCTCGTCCAGCGTCTGCAGCAGCTCCTGCAGCCTCTCTATGTAGCTGATGGCGCTGCGTAAAATCTCCACTTTGGGTAGCCTCTGGTTGGGATTGGCTACGGTCTTCCTCTTCAGTGCGTCGAAGGCTTCGTTGATCTTCTTAAGCCTCCTCCTCTCCCTGAGGGTCGCAGCCTTACGTCTATCCGTGGGAGCCGTCTTTCTCTTGCAGATCTTACAGGCCCACATGAGGCACTGACCCTCACAGTGCGCCCGGAGACCCGGAGGCGCGGGGACGTGCTCCTCTCCGCTGCTCTCCCCACCGGACGGGACATTATCATGACCCGCTTGGGACAGTGGGCTGTCATTGCCATTGTACAGAGGGGAAACCCCTGCCATGTCCAAGTGCTGTAGTGGTCCATGATCTGCTTCCTCCAGGTAGCGCAAATCATTAAAAAGATAACTGTTGGTCTCGAAAAGGTCCATCATATTGTTGCGCTCCTCACTCCGTTTTCACACTGGGTCTCTGGCATTTAAATAGAGCAGCAAGGACACAAGTCAACAGATTATATATAGAATGTGAAACTCTATCCAACACTTTGGCTGCCACACTGCAACAACCATCTTTTTTTTTTCAATCGGTCTTCACAACATACCGACTCTGTACAGACAGAAATGTCCCCTCAGGTTTTATAACAGGTGCATGTGCGTTATAATATTTCACAATGAAAAAGTAAATGTTACAGGATAGAGAGATTACTGTTTCTCGCTTTTATCCATACTTCACAGGGGGCTCTAATTTGTAGCAAAACACTCCATTAATAGTTATTAATAACTCATTAGTGTGTTTTTAAGTAACTGAACAAAAGCTCTGTGTTGCCAGGTTGGGTTGTAAAAAGTGTCTTTAACTGCTATGTCTGCAGCACAATTTTAATTGTACGAATGAATAATTGGAAATGATCCTTTCCAAATAGGATTACACGGCAATCAAGGTTACGAATCATTGCTGTGAAAATCTGATTCTTAAACCTAAAGAAAGAGAGTGTGGAGAGTTTCAATAATCTTCATTTTCCACCCTTCTTAACCACTGAGAGGGTCACAAAGTGCTGGAGGCGTCAGGCGTCAACCATGGGGCATCTTCAAAAGTCTCTTTAACTGACAAGCCTTCTTAATCATCAATACCAGCTGACATGAAGAATTATTCTCACTCTTAAACTGCCAATTAAGTCGCTAGTTAAATTTTGTTTTATGAATTTTACGACATCACAAAAAAGAAAGGGCTTTAAGTTGATCAGTTTTTAAGAAGCCTTCACTGAGCAAGAGGCATTGAACACTGCCAACCGTACAGCCCATCAAAGAGACACAGACATCCACACGTAAAGACAATTAAGAGTTACAACTTAAAATGGCATGACAACAGTTTTGGTCTGTGAGAGGAAACCTGTGCAGACAAAAGTAGAATATGCAAACCTCTGGAAAAAAAGGCCTCAGGCAAGTTTGAACCTACAACTATTCTTACTGTGGCGGCAGTTAATAAACAAATTTAAGGCTATTTCAGATGCCCTGGAGCTCTTTTTTTTTTTTTTTGGAAACACCACATGAAGGAGGAAGCTAATAAACTTCTAAACTCAAAAAAGAGAAAATCAGGTTGCACGATGGGTTGTGTATAATTCGACCAAATTGAATATTTTGCAATCTGGCAACCCAGTTGTGGTTCTTATTTATGACATGTTATTCTGTTTACTTTAAGGATCCATGACAAAAGCCAGATTTGATCAGCGAATCAGAAAACAACAATAGAAATCAAAATAAATTATTTCAAATAAACCATATCGCTGCTGTTTTAACTCTAGTTTGTTGTGCATTTTAGACAGTAGGGACAACTGTAAGTTGTATTCGGTCTCAACATAAATAGACAGGAATGTGCACAGTCAAAAGAGCTTTGAGAAATGTCTCAACTCGATGATATAAATAGAAACGTGGCTCAGTCATTTCAGATTCATAAAAGAGATAAAAGCCTGTGAAGAGGTGATATATTGCCTGTTGGCATTTTTCCTCCAAACTCAAAGGGCTGTGATTGGAAACTTCACAGGCAGGAATGTGAGGGATTCCTATTTTTGAGTGACTGCATGACCTTGTCTTTTGAAATGAAATAAGATGATCTCATCAGGCTGTGGCAGCCGTTGAGACACAAAAACAAACACATCTTTAGACATGCATCCAGATAACTGTCGGCTTCTTTGCGGAGCAGAGAGACACATAAAGAACAGGGGTGTTTTTTTGAATGAATGAATGAATCAAATTTAAGAGCGGAAGAGGCACTGGGACCTTGGTGATGTGTACTAAAGCATGCTGCACAGCCAACTCACGTGTGGGGGTTTTATATGACCCTGCATGTGGAAGTCCCTTCCCTTCAGCTCCCAGCTTCTGTCATGTTGTGTTTAAAGAGTCACCAGTGCCTTTCATCATTTGACAGGATGTCTGAAATACTGCCACGAGTCAACACAACATCTCTAAGTCACCTTCCACACATATGCTTGAACATATCGGCTCAGTTATTCCAAAAGTTGTAATTGGCAGTTTCTAAGTTCTCGCTTCAGTATATGAGTAGCTCTCAGAACTCCACAGTATCTCTAAATCCTTAAATAAGTGGCCCAACAACACATCTAACTAAACCCCAATAAAGACACTATTAAAGTCAATTTGAGAGCTATACTGCACTGCAGTGTTCATTTGTATAGTTTACAAACCAATAAATATATGCAAACTGAAAAAAATCAATAATATTGGCTTTGAACTGATATGATTTCAGTGATAAACAGCAGAGTAACCATAGGTTCTATAGCAATCCTTTGTATCTGGAGGAAATGTTTTAAATCTGCATTTTCTTCTAATGGCCAGCAGGGGGCAATACCTCTGGTTGTCTCTTTCCATAGACATGTATGAAAAAATGCTGCAAACCCATAGATCTATCTGGGTGCCCATGCTGAGCCCTGTCCACTGCTGAAACAACGGGCACATGAGCATCAGAAATGGACCATGGAGCAATGAAAAAAGGTGGCTTGACTCAATGGAGCATGTTTTCTTTAACTTCACATGGATGGCAGGGTGCATCTCCGTTACTTACCTGGGAAACACCTGGCACTAGGATGCACTATGGTAGGAAGGCAAGCCAGCAGAGGAAGGGTGATGCTTTGAGCAATGTTCTGATTAGAAACCTTGGGTCCTGCCATCCACGTGGATGTTACTTTGACACATTCCACCTACCCAAGCATTGTTGTAGACCATGTACACCCTGAAAACTGTATTCCCTGATCGGTGTGGCCTCTACCAGCAGGATAATGCACCTGCACATAGCAGAAATGGCTCAGGCATGTTTGAGGAGCACAACAATGAGTCTGAGCTGTTGACCTGGCTTCCAAATTCTCCAGATCTCAGTTCACTTGAACATCTGTGCTGGGCAAACAATCCCAATCCACAGCGGCCCACCGTGTAACTAACAGGACTTAAAGGATCTGTTGCTAACATGTCAGTGCCAGATACCACAGCACACCTTCAGGTGTCTACTAGAGTTAATGGCTCAATGGTTCAGGGCAGTGTTGTCAGCAAAGGGCAGACCAACACAATATTAGGCAGGTGCTCATACTGTTATGCCTGAGCTGTAGGCGGCTGTGTGTCCACCGAGAGTGGGCGTGGCTTAAGGAGGAGTCAGGCAGGGACACCTTTTTGCCTCCACATGATGACGCAAAAGCCTAGCCCAGCCCTCCTACTTATTCCCAGATTGTTCTTCTACTCACCGGTTGCTAATACCTTTCCCCTACTTACCTGCTTCTCTGTTCCACATGCTCCTCATACTTACTAGCCTGTTTTCTCCTTCTTCCCAGGAATCCTGCCTAATGTACCTGACTTTTCCAGACTTGTGAATCTGCCTGACCCACTCTTACTGAGCCACTTGCTCAGCACCTTAAGAAGACTTGGGAACTCCCCTGTCTTGCGTTGCCCAAAGATACTGACCTAAATGTAACCCAAACCTTACATGACCAGTATCTGAACGTTAGCTGTTGTTGCACCTTCTTGTGTCCTGTCTTTGAGTCACTCAGGTTTAACCTTCACACATTTGTTTTTTAAATTACTTTTAATCTAAGTGTTTCACAGTTTAGATGACAACATACATTAAAGAAATATGTATAACATACCAACACACATTCAAACATGCTTCCACACAGCCGCATGCCAGATATTTGTATGAGCATGACATTTGATGGCATAAATAAAATTTTGACGTTAATCACTGGAATTTTGAGAATATATTTTTTTGTAGTCACAGGGAGAAAATAGCTCGTATCCATAAAGCCTCATTAGAAAAGCTAAACATAATCCAGTAAAATGCTTAAATTATGCAGCTGTGTTAAAATAGAAGGTGTGTGTGTTGCTCTACATGCAATATTGCAAATGCATGAGATTTCTTTTGTACTTTTACTTTAAAGGCGAAGTCACTTGTCAGAAACAATATAGCTTTTATTATCAGTTTTTCAAACAGCAGAGGTGACACATACAATATAGAATAGAAAATGTGTGTGTGTGTGTGTGTGTGTGTGCACTTATGAACATTGAGGTAGGTATTTGGTGTCTGGGTATGTTTTGTCAGCCACGGTAAATTTTTGTGTCTCTGTCACTGCTGCTTTGTCATTTTCACGCAAGCACAAAGTCGTGATGAAAAAGAAAAATGATGAATAGCGATAAATGAATGACAATTATAAATAAATTGTCTCATGAACAGAATATAAATTAAAACTAGACTCATTTCAGACTTTAATTTGCCTCGATTATTGCACCGCAATGAAAAGTACTCATCCTCCAGGTGAACCGAGTCGCGTCCCTGCTGTGCCCTGATCATGTATTCTCCCCCCAGGGGTTGGCCTACTGCGCATCCTGAACCTGACCGTAAATTCCCATCAGTGTTGAGGGGTTGACGCTTCAGCTGTCAGGGAGAATCATGGGATGGGGGGGGGGGCAGAAACTTACACTAGAAGATCAGGCCTCTAAGGGAAGACTATGCAGTCAGGATGGGTTGCACGAAGCGTAAATCTGCCTGGAATCCAAAGAGGCTCAGAGGCGTCAGCTCTGCGGTCTGAACACGTAACAGGCAAAATCTGTGTGTAAAGACACAATGGGTCTGTTTAAAATGTCTGTATGACATATTGCTTCTTGAGATTGTCTTTCAGTGGTAAACAAAAAGGTCATTGTACAGCAGTTCAGCAGTGAGACATTCCTGTTTGAAGGTACACTTTGATGTTCTTGGGGAATCCATATACTTTCTCCTTTAGCTCAATTTTTAAATTAAAACCACTCATGTCTGTCCACTTAATACAAAGCTACAGGCCAAAGACTGTTAGCTCATCACAGCAGAAAGAGTGAATCAGTGGCACATGGGAGAAGTTTGCCTGCAGGGCTTTCTGGCAGAAAGCTCTCGTTCCCTTTGTTATTTTCAGATTTCAGTAGCAGTTTAGTCAGGTTAA